ACACACACAGACAGGGTCATCACAATATGCGTTTTTGCAATTTGCATGTAGGCAGAAACGCATAAAAAGTTATACGTCTAACATTTTGAAAGAATTCACTACATAGTGCATGGTAGATGCATGCAAAATCGTTCCCCATAAATATGTGCCCATAGCTCGTGATCCAGAGAAGCTGAAACAGTGTTGTTTAAAGCTCAGGACAATTCATTTATTTTGGATCAGGAATTACGTTTTCTACAATTCAGCCTTTTAGCTTGCCTAGTCGCGAAACTGAAAAAAATACGCGAAATGAAACAGAGGGTCTCATCAATACGTATTATTTCATAAATGCTGGAGCGCATAGAAAATAAATTTTTTAATTTGCTCAAATGCACTGCGTGGCGAAAAGTGATTTAGAGATCAACAAAATAAATTTTCTTCGGTTCTTAAATTTCGATGCGCTCCGAACTGCAACGCTGAATCAGATATGATACTGATAACAAATAATAAATAAATTTTGAAGAAAAGTGGTCGAAATTCATTGGTGCATGAAGCTTCTTCGACAGCATCGGATACGTCTCAGACGAACAATGGTGGACCAAAAGGTGATCAAATTCGAAAGAACAGTGTATAGGACTAATGAGCTTTTGTTAATTGGCAAAAAGACCAAAATCGTCGAGACCATTCGTGCAGCTGGTGTGGGAATCTAATGTTAGTGATGTTACTGGGTCGCATCCAAACACTAAGCGAAATTACGCCAGGTCCTCCTGCCTGCGCCTATAATCCTTACAAAGATCTTGAATTTTGAAAAGTAGTTAATTTCAAGATAGTCGAAGAAAGACCACTCGTAACTGTCTAGCACGTATGAGCATCCTAGCAGCACTACTAGTATGGAATATCCACACTGACAACTCGGTCGGTCTTGTATTCTTGATATTTCATTACATTTATTGTCGAACTTAACACGATTCAATTTTTTGTAAAAATATTGCTTGCACTGAGAACTATGTCAATAGCAAAGTCAGTAGTAGGTAACAGCGACACTTAGCTGCAGATCACTAAATTTGTCGCTTTAACATAGTAACCCATGCTGAATTTCCATCTAACTCAGCGACACAGTTATTTCTTTGCATGTCATATTTAGTTTTTTTTCTTTGCATTTCACATTTCAGAAATTTTTGATGCCTTACAACGATATGTTAACTGTTCGTTTCAGACGACACGGCCACTTCACTTCTAAAAACAACAGTACGAACGCAGTACACGAAAAAACAGAATGGTA